AGAGGGAGCGATCATATGCATGGATTAAAATATGGAAGCTCTAATGAACCATGTATAAGGTTTTTGAAACAGAAGCAAACAAGGAGTCAGCGCACTAATTGAATGGGGCTAGAACATGTGCAAACTCAGATTGTGTTTTGATTACCTTTCGTTAATTAGCGAGAGAGTTACGTGCAGCTGCGCAATGCTTATCGCAAAGTAGCCAGCAAGCATTTCTAAGATCAAATCTGTTGACANGCGCAGTGATCGATCAAAGACGTGATCTTTCGAGAAATTGATCTTCGGCGAAAGCAATTGTTAGTTTGTAATGACTGATGGTAATTCCTACCCCTTGATCTCTTATAACCCAGTATGCGAATGCTGGATAGCCTTCAAAAGGATGAATAACACCGTATGAATATTGCGCATAGAACAACGATCACTGCGCACGTTGGATGCGCTTCGTCTTAGCTCAGCATTATGCATAGAGCAATACTACGGTAGATTGCCTCCTTTCTATTGCAAAAAACAATTGCATCGTACCAACATGCATACTACTTGCCCAGGAATAATGTTGCTCTCGTCGAGTGTGATAATACCAATTTATGAAATTGCTGAAGGATACAATTCATATTTCATTAATGCCGTTCAACTGAACGAAGTAGTTGAAGTGCTTCAAACTGAAGTATTTCAAGTGCTGAAAGTACTTTGAATGAAGTCCTCCCATTTATGAATGTCGATACCAATATAATTGGAATCACGACTAATTCACGATGAACGAATGCAGAAACTTATCGCTGTTGCTGAATTGATTGCATTGATGTTTGGTTCACAATCTTTAAATAGCTTATAGTTGAAAGTGGTCATGAGGTCAGTGTTTGCTAATTAAACGGTATTGTTTTGGAGTTGGAAGGGGTATCTGAGAGCCGCGAGCAAAACAAACGAATCAGCAATATGTTCTCGCGCTATGAAGACAAAGAAAGATGTTACCATGGCTACTGTGTCAATCGCATCTGTCAATAGCAAACGTTGTAAGGTTTTTAGACTCAGACAAAGCTGCCAGGAGCGAAACAATGTCAAGCGGATCACCATCTGTCAGCAACGAAAACAATTGGTCACAAATAAGCATGAGAAAAGCACCAAAATAAGCCAACTACAATTAGACTTTAATGAATGCTTCAATTCTGCCTAAGCAATTTCAGGAAGCCAATAGATTTCACACTGCATAGAATATTTTACGTCCCATAAGAGGCTACAGTTTACAGCAGCATTCAATTCGAATGATAATCTTAGAAGCACGTTTGAAGAAGCAATTTCAGCTCGCACAGCAACTATCAACAATTGAAGAGTAAAAGAATTCTTGTTAATAACGTCTGAAATAGCTTTTTTATAGGGTTCTGCAACGTTTAGAAGATTTAATTTTGGAACCAAACAATTTCAGTGGAGGGTGGAAATGTTGAATGCTGAAATCAAACTACGATCCTGTGTTCACGGGACCTGGAGAGGCAACAAATACGGATGAGCCGACGAGGCTAAGGAACATTGCTGAATGAACGAATATGATCAGCCATATGTGATCAAACGTATATTGAGATACAACAAATGAGATACAAATGACAAACTAAATTCTAAAATCCATTCGCAAATTTCGAATTATCTATTCTGCAAGAC